TAAACCGCTTTGCAACGGGAGCTCACCCCGTCACAGGGATTCGAACCACCAACCTTCTGATCGGCAAGTCCAAGTGGCTCAGTGGTTTAGACCAGGGGTCAGCAAACTTTTTCAGCAGGGGGCCAGTTCACTGTCCTTCAGACCTTGTGGGGGGCCGGACTAGATTTTCAAAAAATAAAATAAAAAATGAACGAATTCCTATGCCGCACAAATAACCCAGAGATGCATTTTAAATAAAAGGACACATTCTACTCATGTAAAAACATGCTGATTCCCGGACCGTCCGCGGGCCGGATTTAGAAGGCGATTGGGCTGGATCCGGCCCCCAGGCCTTAGCTTGCCTACCCACGGTTTAGACCACAGCACCACCTGAGTCCCAAGAAAGACAGGTCAAGAGATAGTGGGGTAAATAGCTGAGGTCTGCCCATCTAGCTGCTCTGATTGGCCTGCACTTGCACGTGGACCCTCTCAAGCTCCTCCTCAGGGAGAGACTGCCTGAATCTCCTTCTGGAGGGAACCACAAATTCACCCCCACTTAAGTGTGGGGCTGGTGTTTCCTAACGCAAAGCTTGTTGTTGTTGCTGTTCTTTAGTCGTTTAGTCGTGTCCGACTCTTTGTGACCCCCTGGACCAGAGCACACCAGGCACTCCTGTCTTCCACTGCCTCCCACAGTTTGGTCAAACTCATGCTGGTAGCTTCGAGAACACTGTCCAACCATCTCATCCCCTTCTCCTTGCACCTTCCATCTTTCCCAACATCAGGGTCTTTTCCAGGGAGTCTTCTCTTCTCATGAGGTGGCCAAAGTATTGGAGCCTCAGCTTCAGGATCTGTCCTTCCAGTGAGCACTCAGGGCTGATTTCCTTAAGAATGGATAGGTTTGATCTTCTTGCAGTCCATGGGACTCTCAAGAGTCTCCTCCAGCACCATAATTCAAAAGCATCAATTCTTCGGCGATCAGCCTTCTTTATGGTGCAGCTCTCACTTCCATACATCACTACTGGGAAAACCATGGTTTTAACTGCATTGCTAAATCTCCAAGGGTTGCATCTCAAGGATTCTGCATCCTGACAAAGTCCCGTGCCATCCAACCAGCTGCTCTGTCTTTGCAAGGGCCTTCTTTTGTCCTTGAGATTGTAATGCTCAGGAATTGAGAGGGGGGCCCCCCATCATTTTTCTTAATTTCTAGCACCCCCTCTCCCTGGTGGGCTCCGTTTTGCCAGCTGGCATGGAGAACACGCTTAGTCAAAGTTGCAAAGAAAGGGGGCAGCCCAAGGAGAGAGGAGAGAGACAGAGAGAGAGAGATCTTATCCCATTGTTTGTAGAAATCTGGATGGACTCATGGAAGCATAAAAGAACTGACTTTTTCTCCAGCGTGTTTATCAAAGAGAAAATTGCACAGGAGCAAAAGTCAGCATTTAAGGAAGGCCAGAAGTATGGGTATATGGGGAGGACCTCTTTGGGGCCTTTCTGGATGGCAAGAGGGGATGGTTTTAGTGCAGTGTTTCAATCCAGCCCCAGCAGAAGGACTGTAGCTCAGGAGGTCCCAGGTTTAATCCCCAATGGCATCTCCAGGTAGCGGCATAGCGTGGGTTGCCAGTGCCCAGGGCCACGCTGACAGGTGGGAGGGAGGGAGGAAAACAGAGAGAGTTTGCATGCACATTCAACTGCCTAAGGCATCCACAAGAAGGGTCGTTCTGTTGTCTGGAGAGGTCAGCACCAACACTTTGAACTGTGCTCGGAAACGTACTGGGAGCATCACGTTTGTGATGTCACACAGCTGGAGGTGGCCCAATGGGGCCAACACACTCTCTGAAAGGCCCGATGGGGGCCTGCCACAGCTGCGGCTAAGCTTGATGGGGCCTTTTCACTTGATGGAGCTCACTGCTACTGCAAGAGGGCCTGAAGGGGCAGGTTGTGGAATATTGAGGGGGCTCAGCCTAAGGTTGGGACGCGGGTGGTGCTGTGGGTTAAACCACAGAGCCTAGGACTTGCTGATCAGAAGGTCAGCGGTTCGAAGCCCGCGATGTGGTGAGCTCCCATTGCTCGGTCCCTGCTCCTGCCAACCTAGCAGTTCGAAAACACGTCCAAGTGCAAGTAAATAAACAGGTACCGCTCTGGCGGGAAGGTAAATGGCATTTCTGTGAGCTGCTCTGGTTCACCAGAAGCAGCTTAGTCATGCTGGCCACATGACCCGGAAGCTGTACGTCAGCTCCCTCGGCCAATAAAGTGAGATGAGCGCCGCAACCCCAGAGTCGGTCACGACTGGACCTAATGGTCAGGGGTCCCTTTACTTTTTTTAGTCTAAGGTTACCAAATGTCCCCGTTTCCCAGGGACAGTCCCCAGATTTACAAATCAGTCCCCTGACAAAATCCTATCATTCCTACTGAAGTTGAAAAGCGTCCCCGGATTCATTGAAAAAAAATCTGGTCAGCTTAGCTCAGCCCCCTCATTGAAAATTGGGGGGGGGTCTCAGCTCCCACGGTCCCTGCCTGCTGCGGCAGACACTACACAATTGAGCTATGGGGGATCTCAAATACAGTGGTACCTCGGCTTACAGACGCTTCAGGTTACAGACTCCACTAACCCAGAAATAGTACCTCGGGTTAAGAAGTTTGCTTCAGGATGAGAACAGAAATCGCACGGCAGTGGCAGCGGGAGGCCCCATTAGCTAAAGTACCTCAGGTTAAGAACAGTTTCAGGTTAAGAACGGACCTCCAGAACAAATTAAGTTCTTAACCTGAGGTACCACTGTACAGACTATATAGCTCAGCCCTCCCCAGAACTATGACTGCTTTATTTTTTTTGCCCCCATCATCAAAATCAGCGGGATCTTGTGGGGCAGAAAAAAATTGCTGGGGGAGACACTACATCGGGCCTTCCAACTGGGGTTTAACTACCCCTGTCCTAAACAGACAATCAGTGGTACCTCTAGTTACGAACTTAATTCGTTCCGGAGGTCCGTTCTTAAACTGAAACTGTTCTTAACTAGAGGCATGCTTTCGCTGATGGGGCCTCTTGCTGCTGTTGCGTGGTGGGCACACAATTTCCGTTCTCATCCTGGGGCAAAGTTCTCAACTTGAGGTAACTCTTCCAGGTTAGCGGAGTTTGTAACCTGAAGCATTTGTAACCTGAGGCATTTGTAACTCGAGGTACCACTGTATGATAATATTGGCAGTTGGCTCTGCTGAAATATTATGCTAAAAGTATCTACCAAGCACTGTGTCATTTTCTCTGCTTACGCAGCTGGTATTCCCCCTATAAAGAGGAGCCTTATCAGATGTTAATTGCTATCTTTCTATTTTACGCAGGGTGTCATTACATGTCAATGAGGAAGAGAGAAGCTCGAATCGTTTCTCGCTCTCTGTCTGCTTGGTGGTAAAGCAATTTCCAATCTGTCAGCAGTGAAAGGATTTCCAGCCCTGCGGGAAGCCACGTTACTAACCCGCAACACACATCACACACAGTCATGGAGAGAGACCATTGGAAGCCCATCAGTCCCTTAAACAATCTTAAGAGGAGTAAACCAACCTTATGGGAAATGCTTGAGGGAGTTGGCTACGTACAGTCTGGAGAAGAGGAGGCTGAGAGGAGATACAATAGACATCTCGTGTATTGGTCTCTACAACCACAGCAGGCGCTGTAAGTTCCCAACAGTTTGACTTCACCCCAAAGGCACATTCTTCACTGTCTCCCAAGACAGACTGAGGGCAACTTCCACAAATCAGTTCCAAAAGCTAATGCAATTCTAGGGTGCATCAACAGAAGTATAGTGTCCAGATCAAGGGCAGTAATAGTGCCACTCTATTCTGTCTTGGGCATCATGGTTTAAGAAGGATATACTGACAAGTTGAAACATGTGCAAAGGAGGTTGACCAAAATGATCAAGGTTCTGAAAGCCAAGCTTGGGGGTGGGGTGGGTGGGTGGGTGTGGTTGAAGGAGTTGGGTGTGTTTAGCCTGGAGAAGGTATGATAGCCATCTTCAAATATTGGAGGGGCTGTCACGTGGAAGTTGGAGCAAGCTGGTTTTCTGCTGCTCTGGAAGGTAGGACCTGAGCAGATGGATTCAAATGACAAAGAAAGGAGATTCTGACTAAACATTAAGAGGAACTTTCTGATGGTTTCTTGTTGCTGTCAAATTAGCCTTGCCAACTTGAGAAATGACGAACGACACTCCTGCAGATAATCTCCCTTGACTGAGCTGGGATAAAAGGGTTCAAGCAGCATGCTGAGCCTAAGCGAATTGTAAAACACCTCAAAGCAGTTTACGAAAAGAATGAAACAACAATTGGTACAGTTAAAAAGAGCTATTTAAAACATTTTTTTAAAAAAAGATTAAAATCAGCTATATGCCAAAAACCAGATTAAAGCACATGCCAATATTCGTCACACCTGGATAGGCTTGCATAAACAGAAATGTTTTTAGCAGGCACCGAAAACAGTACAGTGAAAGCATCTGCCTCGTGTCAAGTGGCAGGGAGTTCCAAGGTCTAGGTCAGGGGTAGGCAACCTAAGGCCCATGGGCCACAAGCGGCCCACAGGGGTCGTTTAACCAGCCCACGAGCCACCCATGAACTGAGCCACATGCTCAGTGAGTTCCCGTGCGCTGCGCTAAACTGGCGCAGCATGGCACGGGGACTTGCTTTCGTGGTGTGGGAAATCGCATCTGAGCAGATGCCGGAAATCACATCTGTGCAGATGCAGATGCTGGAAATTGTGCACGCGCTCATGCGCATGCACAATTCGGCCCACGGAGGGATTTCTGCTAGAGTGAACATGCCCAGATGGGCGGGGTATAAATTATTATTATTATTATTATTATTATTATTATTATTATTAAAAATTAATATTCTAGCCCTCTTGGTTCTGAATAAATGGATAATTTGAATGAGAAGCTGCATTATACCAAGTCTGAACACTGGACTATTTGGCTGAGTATTGTCTACACTGACTGGCAGAGCCTCTGGGGTTTCAGACAGGGGACAGTCCCAGCCCCAGCTGGAGTTGTCAGGGATCGAACCTGCAACCTTCTACATGGAAGGCAGAAGCTCTGCCACTGAATATAGCCTGTCTGGAATGCATCCAAGCCTTTCTACGCATCTGTTTTTGCCCTGCCTACCAGGAATCTTCTACCTTAGGCTGGCAAGCGAGGGAAAGAGTTTAATCTCTTGCTTCATTTGGACCAAATTGCTTTGTGTAGTAAATACAGTAATAAAAAGGGCCCTCCTTTTTAAATGTTTACAGGCTGGACTCCTTCGCAAAATGTAATGCCACTGTTGACGGAGTCTGTAGTTTGCTGCTCCTGTATCTAAATTACCAGTCATTATTGCAACCGGCAATTGCCTGACGCTGGCTGATTTGAAGCACTCTGCGTTCCGCGGGAAACGGTGGTGAGAACTGTGTTGCTGAATGAAGGCAGCTGGAGGGGGTCACTGGGGCAGGGGAGTGGCAGACCTGCTTCTCCCCTAGCAAATCAGGGTCCCTACTTCGGGGAGGTTGTGATGGATGTCTGTTTTTTAAACCTTAGCAAGAGCATCACACACACACACACACACACACACACACACGGGTCATACTCGTCATCTGCTGGCTTCAAGCCAGCGATGGGGAAAGAAGGCTTTTCGCTCAACGTGAATCCCAAAACGTCCTCCGAGGGGCTGTTAGGAGGAAAAGCCCACCTGAAACGCAGCCATGAAATGATGGCTCCTTTCCAAACACTCTGATCACACCAGTGGGCAAGCGGAGTTTTCTTCCAATTGCCCCAGTGCAGAGATAATCATTGCTTCTAATGGCAAACTCAGGTGTTTCATGCCAACAGGATTCCAGACAAAATGCATCTAGGGAGTGAAATGAGAAGGAAGGAATTATCAGCACAGTGATGCTCAGAGGTTTGCAGAAGTACAGAATTGTTTTTGAGAGCCAGTGTGGTGTAGTGGTTAAGAGCAGTAGACTCGTAATCTGGTGAACCGGGTTCGCTTCCCCGCTCCTCCACATGCAGCTGCTGGGTGACCTTGGGCCAGTCACACTTCTCTGAAGTCTCTCAGCCTCACTCACCTCACAGAGTGTTTGTTGTGAGGGAGGAAGGGAAAGGAGAATGTTAGCCGCTTTGAGACTCCTTAAAGGGAGTGAAAGGCGGGATATAAAATCCAAACTCTTCTTCTTCTTTTCTTTTTAAGACCAAAGTGTGTGTGTGTGTGGTGGGGGGAAGGAACCCAGCCGAATGAGGACTGAGCATGCTCAGTACCTGCGGAATCTTGATTGAAAGTTGGAAAGTCGACTATTCAAATTACTTCTGGAATGGTATACAAAAGATGAAGAAATCAAGGCAGTGATGATACACCGGGCTAGAGATTTTGGGTATAATATGCAACTTTTATCTTGGGGAAAGTTATGGAAAGAGGAAATAAAAATTACTGCATGCAGTTCGTTGAAAAAAAATTATATGAAAATGATGTATCGTTGGTATCTGAGTAAAATTGTAGAAATGTACAAAACGAGTTCAAATTTGTGTTGGGAATGCAAAGGGAAGGAGGGTACTTTTTACCATATGTGGTGGACGTACATTGGTAAAAGCTTTCTGGGAAATGATATATAATGAACTAAAGAAAATGTTTAAAATACATTTGTTAAAAAAACCAAAAGCTCTTTTGTTAGGTATAATAGGTGAAGAGACACCAAGAGAGGATAAAAGATTCTTTATGTCTGCAACGACGGCCGCGAGAATGCTACTAGCCGAGAGATGGAAGGAAGGAGAAGTACCAACAAGAGAAGAACGGCAGACGGAACGGATGGAGTATATGCAGAGATGGCGAAACTGACGGGGAAGATCAGAAACCAGGAAGATCCAAGACTGGAGTAAATTCCTAACTTACTTAAAAGACCACTGTAAATGGTTAAAATCATTGGCAGGGATGTAATGACGCTTGCAATGTGGAATTAACTATGGTAACCATGGATATGTAACAGATGGATAATGGTAAAAGATGCAGAAAATCTAATTTTAAATGGAGGGAGGGAAGGAGGTCCGAAGGTTCAAACGAACCTTTTATTTCAATGTTTGAAATGGTTAAAGTTAATATGTATAAAAATTTGTAAAACCAGTAAAAATATTATTAAAATTAGAAAGTTGGAAAGTGGAGGGAATGGTTGGACGCAGAGACTCCTTTTGTGACAGGGGATGCGCTGCAATATTTTGTTGCTGAACTCACCTGTTCCCATTCCGCACCCCAAATAAATGATTGCTTTTCGGCAGCTGCTGATTGAAGGTGTATATGTGATTGAAGCCACCTAAGCAAAGCTGCTTGGCAATCACAATCCCGACTGCCAAGTGATTGAAGCAGATCCTTTAACTGATTAGACATCTCTCTTACGCCGACATCGCATCCGCTGTTTGGGGATTTTTTTAAAAAAAATAACCCACTCGCTTTGCGGGGTTGTTGTAAGGAGTGCAGAGATAATGTGCCTGAAGTGTTTTGATTGCTCCAAAACTTCCAGATAAGTGCAAGAAGTTAATAACCCCATTTTTTTAAAAAAATAAATAAAAAGCAGCCTGATTGATCAAATAATTATTTGCATTTAGCCAGATGTTCAGATCACTAAAAATAAAAATAAAATAAATACATGGCCCAAGTGCAGATTTGGGGCATCAAGGAAAATGTTACAGTGTAATCCAGCTTTCACCAAGCCTGGTAGCTTCCAGATATTTTGGACCACAGCTTTCGCCAGCCCTGACCACTAGTCATGCTGGCTGGGGCTGATAGGAGTTGTAGTGCAACACTGAGCTGAGGAATTGAGTTGGGGATGGCTGATGGAAGCTTACTTACCGTGTAATCAAAGCTGCCAGTCATTATTAAAACGAACTCGATGAATATCTTGAAGATAGAGCTTTTTAATTCCTCTGGGAGCAGGACTGACAGGCTGAAATCCTTTCTCAAGAGGCATATAACTAATTTACGCCATGCACCTCTGTGGTGTTCTTGGTGAGAAATCGAAACTATAAACAGGCCACCTCCCTGACCAAATTAGTCAGTGAATTTCCTCACCCACTTGAAAAGATGTAAAGGTAAAGGTAAAGGGACCGCTGACCATAAGGTCCAGTCATGACTGACTCTAATCTCGCTTTATTGGCTGAGGGAGCCGGTGTACAGCTTCCGGGTCATGTGGCCAGCATGACTAAGCTGCTTCTGGAGAAACCAGAGCAGCGCACGGAAACCACACCACTGAGCTTCTTGGGCCTGCCAATCAGAAGGTCAGCTGTTTGAATCCCCATGACAGGATGAGCTCCCATTGCTGTGTCCCAGCGCCTGACAACCTAGCAGTTCAAAAGCACACCAGTGCAAGTAGATAAAATAGGTACTGCTGTGGCGTGAAGGCAAATGCCGTTTCTATGCGCTCTGGCTTCCGTCAATGTCCCATTGCACCAGAAACGGTTTAGTCCTACTGGCCGCATGACCTGGAAAGCTGTCTGTGGACAAACGCCAGCTCCCTCGGCCTGAAAGCGAGATGAGCGCCGCAACCCTATAGTCGCCTTTGACTGGACTTAACCATCCAGGGTAGGACTAGATGGGTCACTGGTCTTCTCCAGTGACATTTCTTACATTCCTATGATCTGCATGCAAAATGTCTCAGTTTCAGAAACTAAGAGAAACTGAAAACGGCACCCCTAGCTGATGGGAGAGGGAGTCGAAAACATCTGGAGAGCACCAGGTTGGCAATGGCTTCAGAACAGCAAGGCTGACATATATTTTGGGGGATGAGGGCCAGCAGCCTAGGATGCTAATGAGCATTCAGACCTCCCAGACTCTGTAACATTTGGGAATTGCTGACTTCACAGTCTGCCGTCCAGAGGTCCTTTACTTTTTATTATCATTACCTTTTTATTGTTGCTGTATGCCTTAATCTGTTTTTAATTAATCGCTGATTTGATCTTTCGAGCATTTCAAAGTGTCACCTGTGATGGGATGATGAGCTGCTTGTGCGTAAAATCGTATCCCCTCAGAGTTTGTTCAAGTCCACAAACCTCTGTCTGTGACGGAGCCCCTCAGACATGGCTACTCTAGTCACTAGCAGATTCCGACAGTGGTTGCTTTCGTAATCGCTTCCAACATAAAAGCTCCTTAACGGAAACACGTCTTCTGGAATCTCTGCGTGACAGTTTCCGGCGAGGAGTGGGTGTTCTTACAGGAGGTCCTGAAACCTCCCCACTGTTTTCGCTGGAAGTGTCTCTGAGCCATCCCTCCAGCTCAGCTCCTCTCCCTGCTGGTTCCCTCTTCAGCTGCTGCGTCTCTCCCAACCTGTGTGAGCCCTTTCACCTCCCTTCCGGTTCCCTCTTCAGCTGCTGCGTCTCTCCCAACCTGTGTGAGCCCTTTCACCTCCCTGCTGGTTCCCTCTTCAGCTGCTGCGTCTCTCCCAACCTGTGTGAGCCCTTTCACCTCCCTTCCGTCCGATGGCAGTTCCCTGACATCCACCTCCCCTCCAGGGCCCCCTTCACCCCCCTCTCGCCCCCTCCTCTACGGGCGGTGAGGAGGCAAAACCCCGGAATGAACTTCCTTCATCTTCCGATGTCTCGAACACTTCTCTCAACCTGTTGCGGTTCCTGGTCTCGAAGTACACCTCCTCCTCAGAGTCCATCTCCCCTTCCCCTTCCGAGTCCGGGAATCCTTCCAACTCCTCCCCTTCATCAGTGGTCCCAAAGTATTCCCTCCGGAACCTCTCCACAGGCTGAGGTTTCCTTGGGAACCTTTGATGGAACGTTTCTATCAATACCTCGTCATTGATATCTTCAGCCATTACCCAAGTGTTTTCTGACTCGGTTCTCCTTCCCACGCTACCAAATACTCCACCTGATCCCCCTTCCACCTGGCGTCGAGGATTTCTGCCACATGGCTGCTGCATTCTCTTTCTTCTACGACCGGTCCCCGAGTGGCCAGCCCTTCTCGTCCCCCTTCGTACGGTGACAGTAACGACCTGTGAAATACTGGGTGCAGTTTCATGTGGTTGGGTAACCGGAGCCTGAAAGCCACTGGGTTGACCTGTTGAATGACCTCAAAGGGACCCAACCTCCTGGG